AGCCCTGCCACGCACCCCTCGCGTGCTCCCTTGCAGGCTGCTACTCGCTGTCAGTCCGGCGCGCTGAGCACGCCTCCTGGGACTCGGTCAAACACTACCGCATCCACCGCCTGGAGAATGGCTGGCTCTACATCTCGCCCCGGCTCACCTTCTCCAGCCTGCACGACCTGGTGGACTACTACTCTGGTAACGCCCTGCGAGCCCGCACATGGGGAGAGCCCCAGAGACGCCCTCCCCCATCCCCCCGGCACTCCTGTTTCGGAGGGCAGATCCCAGGGAGGCTTTGCCTGGTGCAAGCCTGGGGCTGCCCTGCGGGACAGTACTGTGCCCAAGCCGTCTGCCCCCTCATGCCAGGCTCTGCTGTGGTTTGGGGGCTAGTGACTCCATAGCTACATGGGGAAAGCACCCCAGTGAAGCTGGGGGTGCTGTGAGCCAGGCCCTCATGCCATGTGTCTGGACTATGGCATTTTTAGCTGGGTGCAGAGGCTCTGCAAAGTCCCTGGGGGATGACATGGCCCCACATTGCTCAGCGCCTGCAGGAGCAGCACCCTGGGCTCCTGCAGCCCCAGCCCCAGCACCCACAGTGTGGGCACTTAGCCTCCATGGAGGACAGAGGGCTACAGCCACCCACAGCTCCTTGGCCAGGCAGGCAGTGGCAAGTGCCCAGGTGCTGTCCAGCACCCAGAGGCCCTGCACCCTGCTGGGAGGCAGTGGCATCCACAGGTTCATGGCCTGCTCCAGATGCCACAGGGGCTGAGGTGAAGAAGGGGGCAGAAACCATGCTGATGATCTCGGCTCCCTGTCCAGAATTTGGGGATGGACTCTGCTGCCTCCTCAAGGAGCCCTGCTACTTGGAAGGGGTGAGACAAGCCCCAGCCCTGACCCTGCCTCCGCCGCTGGTTGTCAAGAAGCCAGCTCTCAACTGGGACAAGGTCGACAGGTAGGGCAGGCGGAAAGAGCGAGGCTTGGGCTTCCTTCCCTTGCCACCCCGATAGGGGAGCGCAGGGCACCAGGCTGGGAAGCTGCCTGCTGATGGCCCCTTCCTCCTCTTACACACAGCTCCGTCTTATTTTCGGAGGCCACGTCCCTGCCAGAGGAAGACTCTCCCATCAGCTTGGGCTTGCGGGAAGCCATCAGCTCCTATCTCCTCCTGACGGACGAAGCACCGCTGGAGAACAGCCCTGCAGAGAAGGGGAAGGCAGGGAAGAGCAGCTGAGGGCCCTGCTCAGCCCCAGCCCTGGAACAACCATTCCTGCCCTATTTAAAGCATTCAGCCAGTGCTTCAGCGGAGATAACTTGCCGCTGCTGAGGAAGCTGGGCACCCTCATGCTGCTTTCCTGATCACTAGAAGGATGCTGGCCCATGAGGTTGAGGCCAAGGACGGGACAGGCAGGCCCCTGTAACACCCATGCTAGAGGGAAAAGGTCTCAATGAAAGCCCAACCTTGCCAGATCCGAGTGCTCTGGCATGTGAGGGGCCTCCAGCCTGGCCCTGAAGTTCCTGGCAGGGGCGAGTTGAGATGCCCAAGCATTGCCCTGGGCTCGCGGGAGCAGAAGGCAGAGGCTAGTTGCTGCAACAAGGGTGCAGGGCTAAGCCCCGGGCCCAGCCCCAGCTGCTCTCCTGTAGCAGCAGGGAAATACAATGCAAATCTGAATAAGCTGAAGCATGACCCACGCAAGGGCAGCTGGGGCGTCCCCTCCATTCCCCCAGGGCAGAAACCCACTCCTGTACAGAGCTTCAACATCAAGCTCAACCAGCCCTACCCCCTTAGGCTAAGGCTCTCACTTGTGTCCACCAATTCGGCTCACATCACTTGGCTGCAGGTCGGGGGTGTGCATCTGTACAGGACAGGGCCTGTGTGCAGTGGGTCCTTCTAACTCCTCTCTGGCAGCTTGACCAGGACCAGCCCCTGCCCATGAGCGGAACAGGGAGGGAGCAGAAGAAGAGGAAACTATCCTCTTATTTTCTCTCAAGTAGCAGACGTTTAAACCTTTTAACACATGAGGACGGGATTGTACTAGGTTTAGGGTTCCTAAAATGGTGAGGATCCTGTTGGACATCTGGCAATAAACAGTTTATGGTATCTTCATTAAAGGGTCTCATTCACAGTTCAGGTTAGCACAATAAATCATGAACTGCCAACTGAAAGCATGGTGCAGGTTTCCATACACTGCAGCTTTTCCACAGTTTTGCTTCTCCCCCAGCCCTGGCAGAGCTGCCCAGCGCTGTCCGGCTCCACCTGCAGGAACTGCTGCCAGCTTTCCCCAGCACAGCAAGAGCTAACAGCAATGGGTCCTCAGCCAATTCCTGGGATATTGCTTAGGGCAAGTTATTTTGCCCTACAGGTTTAAAAATATTTAACATTAATGTATTAAAGTAATGTAATGCAACACAGTTATGGCTATTCTAGCAGATAGGAAAAGAAATGCATCCATAAAAGAAGGATTAGAGGATTTTTTTTTTCAGTGAGAAAAGGAACAATGCAAATACTCATGTCACACTCAGGTCTAAGCTACAAGTCTCTTGGCTAGGTAAGGCAGGCTTAAGTGACTTAATTAAAAGCAGTATAAATACATCAAAACATTAGCTTTCAACAGCCCCCTTATCAGCAAAGAAAGGCATGGGGAAAGTGCCTAAAGCTTCCTCTGTGGTGAAAACTGATGCAGAAGCAATTCAGCTGCTTAGTAACATCTTTTCCTTCCTTTTTTGTGCTCTCAGATGTCGGTGCAGCAAGACCCCCAATTATGTGCAGGTTTCCTGCCTTTGACATGCTCAAATTTCCTCTTAATTTTCATGTCTCACTATTTTGCTTTTGCAAATCCATCATAGCTTGCTCATTTCCTTCTACCTAACCAGACTAACTTTACATGCCTACTTAGCTGTTTGACTCAGACAGAGCTTTCTAACTTGCAGGTGTCTGTCTTTCTGGCAGAAACTACTTTCCCCTCAAGGTTTATTCCTCAGTCTTTTAAGCTTGCCCCGCACCCAGCTGAGAGCACTGCTGTCTCCTTTACTTTTGTTATTAGGGCCCTTTTAACCGATTTTGTGTTACTGAAAGCTAGCTTTCTAACAAAGCATGCACTTTGGCCATCTTCCTGCCCCACAGGGTGTTGGGCCCACTCATACTGCAGTCATGGTTCCTCTGGGACTTCTGCGCATTGTGTCTTACTAGCCAGGAGCTAGTTCAGGGAGCAGAGAACAGCCTCTCGTGCCTGGGCTCAAATTGGAGGGAGCTGGAGGCAAAAAAACCCACTTCTCTAGCATTCGTGCAAGGTGCCTCCTTCTGGACAGACTTCAGGCATGCTAGAAAACAACTTCACAGGCCACCAAAACAGAGCAGCTATCAACATCAGGGCAGCAGAGGCTGCTGGGTGCTTGGATCACAGCACCTCTCAGCCCCAATGAGCTGCCATCTCCTGCGTCCTGCCTGTTGCGAATGCTCATATTATGCCAAGCATGCAGTGGCCCAGGGCTTGGCAGGGACAGCCTCCAAAGCAACGGCACTGTCAAAAGACACTGCAATCCCTGGCTAACATCAGACACAAATCTAGATCCCAAACCAGGTTTTCAATAGCTATGCAGAGGCAGTCAGCTGATCCCAGTGGTTAGCTCTCATACAGCACAAGCAATGCAGAAGAAGAGGGCAGAGGCTGAGGGCCTGTTTCCCCAGGCAGAGGCAGGTCAGTCACCATGCGTGAACATGGGTGGAAGGGCTGTGACTGGACAGAATAAGCACTGCGGACAAGCCTGTGGAAGATCCTACACTGCAAGAGCAGCAGCAGATCCACTACATGGATCACCTTACCAAGGTGATCACCTGACCACTTTCACCTTACCAAGCGGGGCCGGCGCGTCTTTGCCAACAGATTGGCCAGCCTGGTAAGGAGGGCTTTAAACTAGGAAAGATGGGGGAAGGGGAGTGGTATAGAGACACTGTACTCAGTAAAACACAGCTCAAGTCAGGATGCCCCCAGCGGGTGCATACAGCCAGAGGAGACAGCATGCAACATGGCTATGGAGGATCCTCTTGCACCTCTCCTGGGAAGCTTGCATGCTTGACTGGCTCTCTGAAATGCCTGTACACCAATGCACCCAGCATGGGGAATAAACAGGAAGAATTAAGAGATCTGTGCGCGGTCGCAGGGCCATGATCTCATTGCGGTTACAGAGACATGGTGGGATAGCTCACATGACTGGGATGCTGTCATGGATGGCTACGTGCTTGTTAGGAAAG